CGGTGGTGTTGTTGCCGTTGTGAACCCAGCAAATGATCCCAGCTACTTCCTTAATTACAACAATGTCTCTGTGTACGCTCTTTGGCGGGTGTTCTGCTTTCATAACAGAATAAAGTGGTGGGTGGGGTCAGCGAAGGTGGGCGTGGCCAGTAAAGGAACGAGCGCATGGGCGCCTTCGTGTTGCTGTGGTTGTTGTCACTTATCTTTCTGATGGCTTGACAACAACAGGAACAGTCCAGCAGTTTGTTGATGACCAAGGAGAAAAATTGCCTTTCTTCCTCTTAATGCTGTAGCAAGGTGATCCAGCTGAGGCTTCGGCCGCAACAGTGAACACTGTTGGTACCCCAGTGATTGATTGGTGGTTGATTCGCAGCTTCCCCAAACAGTAAGCATTGCTGTCGTGGCTGAAATTCACGTTTTGGGGTTGGAATCCCGCGTTTGCCTTTTTTGAGCCACTACCACTGCAGGTGCTCTTCACTTACTGCGATCCAAATCGCGGTATACCATCCTGCGCTTGATAAACTGGATTGCTTCCCTGTACGAGGCACAGCACTCTCGTTCACAATATTTCGCTGTTTTCGTGGCTTAAAAAAGGGCGACGCGGCTGCTGAGCCCATCATTGGCCTTGGGAAAGTCGCCCATCAGCAGTGGTCGCAACTAAAGATGAACGGAGTGGCGATCATGTGTGGGACGTGGGACGACGTGTGGGACTTCACCTCACTTGACGACATTCGCGTTCGACGAAAAAGCGCCGCAAGAGGCAATGGCCTTTTTGCATGCGTCCGCTGTGAGCCACCGGTGGCTAATATCATTCCTCGCGGAGCACATTTTTGCCGCTCTATTAAATTTCGCGAAATGAATAGGCAGGCTTGTAGGGAGTGTTATTCTGACCACCCGACCCCACTGGATACCATCTTCGCCCCGCCCTCTATGAGCACGCCCTTTTTAGCGCGATCGTGATTTCCGAAATTCATACTATAACTTCTGTTTCTGTCGCTTTTTTGCTTTTTTTACTTTTCACATATATATAGAAAATCATAGACAGCCATACCGACACACAGGACTCCGCCCACCTTCAACAGGTTTGTTGTAAATTTCGATTTGCAAATTTTTCCTAACATCGACGCTTTTAAATCCTTTTTCCACATATTGGATATACTCGCAGACAGGCATTGGCGCAGTAATACATTAGGCCCCGCCCACTCAGCTCCGAACTTTTTAGAAGGATTTTTTCGCGAATTCTAGCAAAACCTCCATATTTTAATGCTTATCCACCTTTTCAGACCTAGCAGCCGGCTTCGCCCACTATGAGAGGCCTCCATACAAGGTCCACCTACTTTTGCAAAGTATCTTGATCTGGAGGTACAGGGTCTTGCTCGCAGCTCATAATACGTCAGACTACTCCACACTGGGGAACACACTATCAAGGGCTGTGCACCAATAACCACCATATGGACGAACAGCCCTCAGTCTGTTCACGTTCATGGTGTAGGACGCAAATTGGCCCCTGCTGGCGCCAGATTGGCGCCAACACTAAGAAGGAATGATATATTCGCGGACAAGTGATATCGAAATAACACCAGGTATATGAACTGTATTGAATTCGTGCAAAGACTGCCAGCGCCGAGACGGCCCCTACTGTTCTATCCAAGAGGAACTATTTCGGAGGTTGCTGCCAAAGCAGTAGCTAAGGTGAAAATTTTCAATTTTCATACTCATCTGTTGGCTCATAATGTCGTCAACGTGTTAAAAGGTTAGAAGACAGTGTCTGTTTTCACTACAATCTCTCCGCTCTCTCTTGGCTCGTTTTTTTTTCATTCCTCGTCTGTGCCGGTGGTCAATGTTGCCTTTCGCCCCTCTGTCCGTGCTCAAAAAAAGGCCCATTCAAAGAAAGAGCACCTGCACCTAGGGCTTGCCGATTCGCGACTTGTCAGTCTTGTGGAATTGTGCTTTGATTCACTCTCACATGTGTAGCTACCTTTTTATCTAGACATACTTATGGCGCTATATGTGGGTGTTTTGACTTTAGTTAATGATGCAAAAGCTCTGCTTTATCCCACACCCTGACAAAGCCTTTGCAGTCCCGCGGTTCTGATCCCCACCGTTGCCTTTTTCAACGAACACAAACAATTCTCCTTCCAAAAAAGAACTATTGTATGTGAAGTAAGTGTGCTCCAGTTCACAACCATAACTCATGCTCATTTCGAAAATATAATATGTTAATTAATAGAAATCGAAACAAGACCAGGTTAATACTTCCCTTCGGCTCACAGTGCGCACACGTGAATGTTAGGCTCTACTCTTCTAAAAAATGCTATTGGCCTACTAACAAAAATCAAAAAAGCGTGTCACATTTTTCTAGCTATTGTAAGTGACTTCATGATGTTCAAACAGCTCCACAAACCGTTCCAAATCCAGAGCCATATCCAGATCGTACTTCGTCAACGATCAGCTTGTTGTCCTGCTCAGTCAGCGTCCAGGGTAGGCATGTGTGTGATGTGACATAACTACAATAAAATATATCTCGAACTTTCTTTTCTGGGTTGGCTACACAATGACATGATTGTGAATGTCATGCTTGAAAAAATAAGCAGGAAAGCAAGCCTAGCACTAAGGAATATAACAAAAGAAGCCTTGATGCAAAGAGGCTCTTGTTTTCGATTTTTGAGGATGTGAACATCGTCAGAGTAAAAATGAAAATTTAGGTATTACATGAACGTTGAATCGATTTGGCGAGCAGTGTCAAAGTCTTCACGTAGATGTAACCCTGACAACTATTTCGACATTAAAAATCTTCGTGTTCATTTTTGGAGTTGTTTGAGAGGTTTTCACATGATAACTGCTGTTCATGCCGCAGTTCGCGTTCCCAAAGTTAACACGAGAATGCTGTCGAATGAGATGAATAGCTCTAGTGCTAGTAAGCTGAGAGAGGAAGAGCTGCTCTGGTGGCGCAATGGATAGCGCACTAGCACAATATGCGTGGAATGAGGGTTCGAGTCCCGTCTGAGGTTTGTTCTCTGCCCATAATTTAGCGTGTAGGGTGTGGACAGCCGCCAGACGTCGTTGAACTTCAATTCTGAGCAGCGACCTTAAGAGAAAAGCACGTGTGGGCGTGTTTGAAGGCAATTCTCGCGATCAAGTGTTACGAGTAGTAGATGCTCCATCGCGAACCAGTAGCCCATGAATAACTCCCCAGAAGTAAAAGAAGCGAAAAAAAACTTTGGGAACACTCTAAAAAGAGACCCCTTAGCAGTGCGGCCGACGCCCTTAACGAATTGTTGGACTTCGGCAAGCCCAATCAGGAGGATTTGACATAAGCAGTTCCCGGCAGGCGCACGGGAAATCACCCTACGACGCTCCAGGCAATGCTACGCAATTCCGCTTGACAGCCGTCGTCCTGCAGAATGAAGTAGAAGGTAATTGTGGGTGGTGCAATAATCACGCGTCTGTAGCTTCTATCTCGCCAAATCGAGTGACGAAAAGGTACATTCTCTGTCAGTACGGACCCGAGTACAAAATACATGTAGGCATTTCGCGGACCACTTGATCGCGAGAAATGCTTTAAAACTCATTGTGAAGGCAACCATAGGTCCACTTATTTCACAGTGGAATTACCTAGTAGAAATACTTGGACATGCCATAGTTTCACATTAATGAGCGTGAAGAATCAAGGGACCAAGGCCATTACATCAATCTTGCAATTAGATTCCCTCATTGTCGGCTCCCTTGTCATATTACGCGTTAGACTATTCAGCAGAACCAAGGCGAGATAAGAAGTATTACAGCAAACAAACTGCTGACAGGAAGAGAATAAAAACTCGCTGGAGAGAAGTGAGCCAGTTCTAAGGGACAGTTCATTGATCGGATTCCGCAAGATGCTTTGATGCTCACTAACTATTTGATGACTGGGTATAATGAAAAGCTGTCCAATCTGCTGTGAGAAGTAGTTAGAATTGGTACTTCCCGCTATGACCACTAAGTGTGTTCTAATTCGCTGCGGATGAAGGGGCGTGTCAGGCAGTAGGGTGAGGGTGCCACAGCGCCAAACCCGTTCTCTGCTGGTTGTTGGAGCGGGTATGCGAGAACAACTGGTTGAGAGCAAGTGATACGAATAATATCGTACAGTTCTGTCACTTGCTCGCTTCAACATCTGGTGGAGAACAGATTTGGCACCGCGCCAAACTCATCTCGCCTGACATGCCCCTTCGTCCGCAGCGAACTATACTATAAGCTGATTCCACTTCTACGAATGTTTCAAACGGATTCACAAGCCTCCCCTCCTGAAGCCGTAATGATTCATTCATTTTTTCATATTCACTCTCAAGAAGTGGGCTCGAAGTGCAGAAAACCCACCGTCTCAGGTTAAAGTGCACCTCCTGGTGTGACCTGTCAATAATACTGTTAGCCTCGTTGACGCTCATATGCTGAAATAATGATACTATGAGTTTCAGCACGTAAGAATTGTGATGGGTGTTGTACTGACCTTCGCATCTCGTCCACACACTGCATCAACTTCATCGTTTGGCTTCATTCCGGCTTTGTCCGATAGGGAGTCGTGTTCCACCTGAACATTCAGTCGACGGATAATGAAACCAAACCACATTAATGAAGGCCATACTGTGTTTTCTGAGCTAGGGGTGTTGCGAAGTCCACACCTATGGCCTAAATTTCGATTAAAACGTCGTCCTTAGAGGTGTGAAGGCTCAAACTCCAAGAGCTGCACTCTCATCGTTATGCGTTTCTCCCTTTATCGTTTCGGCAGAGTCATGAAACACCCATCAGCGCCCATATACATTTCTCAAAATAACCGACAAGCAACAGCTGACGTGTTGCCGACCCGATTGCACATGCGTTCAAGCTCTAGGTGACAACTTCCCGAAAGAATACAATCGGCATATCAGGTTACCGCGGACTTTTTTTCCACTTGAGGACTCGCCCTTGAGGAAAACAACTACAAACACTTCATGAATCAACCTCCCCTCCCTCCCTCCTCCCCCCAATGGGTCAAGAAACCGCAAAGCGCAGCGGATGTGCTCAGCGAATTCCCAGCTGTTAGGGACTTTACTGGTTGTGTGTTTAGAGTGCCATACTTTGCGTTACCGTTTCAAGCGTGCGAATCAATCGATAGATCGATAGGGGGGGGGGGGTGAGAGAAGCATTTCGCACTTTTGCTGCTTCTCACTGTCGCGTCGAGCCAATAAGTAGTGATTTGTCAAATCCCGTGAGACCAGAAGTGGTACCAGTCAAGGTTTGTAAAAATTACTTGACAACTCTAGTGAAGATTGCCTGTCAACTCATGTAGAACAATTAACCTAGCAATGAGAAGCAGCAGAAGTGCAAAATGCTCCCCTCTCCCGTTGCCGAACGGCGTCTGAAAGCATTTTTGATTTGGTTAGTATATAGGAAAATACGAGAAAGGGGAAAGTATAGGGTCGACGGTATGGGAAAATTGTGGTACTCTTCAGTACTTCAGTCTGAAGCTCAATTTGCGATAATTTCAGCTCCATCCTGATCGCAAAATGACCTCAAAAGATAGACGTATGGGATGGAGGCGAAGCTCCGAAACTGAGTCCTTCATGGAAGTGAGTTTTTACATCTTTCATAGCGCAGCTCTCCCGACGATCTGTCTCCTAACGGGTTTGTTACTCCAGTTTTCGTCACACACAATTTCTCATTACTAGTATGGAAATATATTTTTGAGGATTTTATGTGCTATACAAGAGCTTCCAGTTTTCGAATGATAAGATTGTCCTTCTATTCTTGAACCATTGTCCATTCTTTGGTTGGGTCCGGTCTTCTGATTTTGTGACGCCACTTCCCCGATTGAATGCCTGATCTGGGTGGCACCAACTATCATCGAATCCGCTTGCAGCCTGTCAAGCCAGAGTTCCTTGGGACGCTCTTTGGGGTGTTTTCGGAAGACCTCGAGCTGGAAACCAGTCTGACAGACGGTGTCCGCCTTCATGGAAATACCATCGAGAAGACGAGGTACTCCCATTTCATCAACTATGGAAGCTACGCCGAATTTCTTTCGTACGTCGTCGTTAGCGATCCATCCGTGGAACACCGGCCATCCAGCGTAGCATTTTCATCTCCATCACCCTGGGGCGGG